AACGGCTCTTGACTTGAATTGCTTATGTGTGATGTTGGGTTGTGGTTGATGAAAAATAATGAAGCCGAAATGGCTGGAAAATTTGGTAAACACAAAGGGCGTGCTGCCCAAATTTTCGCTCGAGAGCTAGGTTTCTATTTGAACTTGTATACTTTTGTTTAGCCAATACCATGACCGGTTTTCCATTTTAAAACATGATTTTTCATCCTTGGGTTCAAACAACCCTCTTCTTACTTGAAAGTGATCTTTACACGTTTCATTCCTAATTAGTCGGGTTTCTTTGTTTCCCTTAAATGTTTTGCTCGATAAACTGTAATATGCTCTCTTGTTCAACCATAGGTTTCATTGGGGACTAAGGGTAATATCCGGAAAGATATTTTGCACGTTATTGTGCGTAAATAGGTGAGTGTTCTATATACGTTTTGTTTCTATGACTATGTGGATTGTTGGATCTATGTGATTATTTGTGACTATTTGATTAAATGTTACTTGTTTTCTATGATTTTTAAAATGAACTTTTGCTAGGTGAGTGTGTACTTTATCGCACTCGACCTAAATAAATATGAAATTTTCGGTGATTAAATGTTGAAATACTAGTTGCGCATGAATGTAAGCCTTTTGGCTGAACTGGGCCCTTGCTCTTGTTACCGATCGACTCGAGCCAGAAGCGGACTCGGTCGGGCGATATGGTGACCTGGGTGAATTTGGTATACTCGAGTATTACCTTGTAGTCCGGCTACGTCCGGATGGGTGGAGTCCGGCCAATGTCCGGATGGGTGGAGTCCGGTCAACGTCCGGAAAAGGGGATGAACGAACAAAAGGATGAACGAGGGATTCTACTTACAAAAAATGTATTTTCAAACGATTGGAGGAATAAGGGGAAATGTCAGGGGAACGAACGAACAAACAAATAGCTCCTCGTGAGCCTGTATCCTTTTAATGAATGTATTATCATTGCTTTATATTGGACATGTTTTCTGGATTAAATGTTATTACATGACTAATGTTCCTTGTTTAATTACTTGTTTATATATATAGAACCTCACTGGGCTTTTTAGCTCATACCACGTCAATTGTTTTCCTTAGCAGGGGAAGGCGAGCAAGGACGAGCGTTCTGTATAGTCTAGTTGATCTAGTTCTTTGGCCTTGTAATGGTTCTCGCCCTAGTGCTTGGCACGGGCTGGTTGTATGAGGAATGAGAACCCTTGTATATTCGATGTTTGTACTTGAATGGTAAAAAACTTTGAAGACTTCTGGTGTGTAGAAGTTTCTTATCTTTTACTTGAGCATCTATTGTCTATGGATGTATATACATGATTCGAGTTCCATAGTGAGTGAGTCCTGGCGAGAGTTGGGCAGGCGACCCGCTGAACCCTGGGGTACGCCCTAGGGGGAAGTGGGGCCGTCACAATGGTGATGTTTTCCCACTTCCATTCAGGTATCTCCAGGGGTTGTAACAAGCCCGATGGTTTTTTATGCTCTGCTTTAACTTGTTGGCAAACGAGACATTTTTGCACGTACAGAGCAATTTCCTTCTTCATATTGTCCCACCAATAATTTCCTTTCAGGTCTTGATACATCTTACTACTACCCGAATGGATTGTATACTTGGATCGATGGGCTTCCTCTAGAATCTCCGTTTTCAACGATTCATCCTTCGGCACCACTATTCGGTTTCGGTAGTTTAAAATACCCTCAGGACCAAAATTGAAATCAGTGGTTTCTCCTTTTTCCACTTTCTCTCCCCATTTTTGCACCAGTGCATCTTCCTTTTGAGCTTCTTTAATCCTTTCTAAGAAGGTAGAAGTCACTTTAATATTGCCAAAAATCACATTATGGCTCCCAAGGCAAGGTTTCCATTCACATACAGAGTCTAACAATTCCCACTCTTTGATCATTAGACTCGCGACCTGAGCTTTGCGACTTAGGGCATCGGCCACCACGTTTGCTTTTCCCAGATGGTAGTTGATGGTACAGTCGTAATCCTCCAAAAATTCCATCCACCGTCGCTGCCTCATGTTTAATTCCTTCTATGAGAAAAGATATCTCAGGCTTTTATGATCGGAGTAAACCTCGAAAGTTACTCCATATAAGTAGTGCCTCCACTTCTTCAGAGCAAAAACAACTGCAGCTAGCTCCAGATCGTGGGTCGGGTAATTTTGCTCGTGGGATTTTAACTTGCTCGAGGCAAAAGGGATCATATTTCGATTTTGCATTAATACACAACCCAGGCCTTCTCGGGATGCATCAGTGTACACAGCATATCCGTCCACCCCGTTTGGTAAGACTAGAACTGGAGCCATGGTCAATATTTTCTTTAATTCCTGAAAACTTGTCTCACTTCGGGCGTTCCATAAGAACCGACCATGTTTCTTCGTCAAATCGGTTAGAGGACCGGCTAGTTTGGAGAAGTTCTTGATAAAACGCCGGTAATATCCAGCCAGTCCTAGAAAGCTACGGACCTCTGTGGGAGTTTCTGGCCTCTTCCAATTAGTCACAGCCTAAACTTTCGCCGGGTCGACTGAAATACCCTCTTGAGAAATTACGTGCCCCAGAAAAGCAATTTTCTCCATCCAAAATTCGCACTTGCTGAACTTGGCATACAGTTGATGGTCTCTCAGGGTTTGCAAGATAGTCTTCAAGTGTTGCTCATGCTCTTCACGGGTCTTGGAATAGACCAAGATGTCATCGATGAAGACTACTACAAATCGATCCAGGTAGGGCTTAAAAACCCTATGCATTAGGTCGATGAAGGCGGCAGGAGCATTGGTTAGTCCAAAGGGCATAACTGCGAACTCGTAATGCCCATATCTCGAGTTGAAGGCGGTCTTCGGAATATCCTCCTTTCTGATTAATAACTGGTAGTACCCTTGGCGGAGGTCCAGTTTTGAGAAAACCACCGCTCCTTGCAACTGATCAAATAGCTCATCGATATGGGGCAGTGGATACTTATTTTTAATTGTAATATTATTCAGGCCCCGATAATCAATACACATCCTCAAACTACCATCTTTTTTCTTTACGAACAGTACAGGAGCTCCCCAAGGAGACCCACTCTCTTGAATGAATCCCCGCTCCAGAAGGTCCTGTAATTGCAACTTTAGCTCCTTGAGCTCGGCAGGAGCCATTCGGTATGGTGTTTTTGAGATAGGTGAGGCTCCTGGTAGCAGGTCTATTTTGAATTCAATTTCTCTTTCCGGAGGTAAGGCTACTAATTCATCAGGAAACACATCCGGAAATTCCTTCACTACGGCCACATCCTCCACTTTCAACTTATCCGTGGGGGTGTTAATCAAAAAGGCCAAAAATCCTTGCGCTCCTCTGCTTAGCAATTTCCTAACTCGAATACCCGAAATCAAAGCAGATGAGGCTAACCTACCCCTTATATCCAACCTTAAGGTCGCCTCACTAGGAATGCGGAATTCCACCACTTTCGTTTTACAATCCAGTTGGGCATTATACCTGGCTAGCCAATCCATACCCAAAATCACATCATACCCCTTAATGACCAGACTTATCAAATCCCCTAACAATCTTTTCTCTCCTACCCACACTTCACAATCCCTATAAACCATACTAGTAACCAAGCGTTGATTCCCCGTAGGTGTACTAACTTCTAGGTCGTATGGTAAACTAGCAGGTTTTATATCGATGCCACACATGAATTCAGGGTTAACAAAGGAATGGGTGGCACCAGGATCAATTAAAACTTTGGCAAAACGGTGGAAAATAGGGATCGTACCTTCTATGACATCTGAGGATTCTGGGACCTGTCGAGGTTCTAAGGAATAGACTCGAGCTGGCACTTTAGGTTTTGCCTCATTCCCCTTATTCGGTCCCGTATTGGTCTTTGGCGTGGTTTGAGTTCCCCTTCCGTCTTGCGTTATGAGTGGGCAGGTAGCAAGCTGGTGGTCTGCGTTTTCGCAACGCAAACATTTGCCTCCCTTCTTCCAGCAATTGTCTTCAAAGTGATTCGGCTTTCCGCAGTACCCGTAAGGTCCACGAGACGCCGAACCTGAGCCCCTCTGGAAGTTTCCACCTTGGCCTCTCCTGGCTGGGCCTCCCCTAGACTGAGCCCCTCTGCCGGAACCTGACTGTCGCCCACCTCCAGCTCCGCGTCCAAACTTGGAGGGAGTACCTTTGTCCCCTTGTCCAGAATTGCTTCCAGAAAAGCCCCGCTTCTTCGCCTGGAAGTTCCGAACTTGCAATCGAGCACTCTCTACCCTTTGGGTCTTTTCTAAGACCTCGCTAAAAGCATTGATTTGAGCCACTGTGAGGTCCTTTTGAATTTCGACGTTCAAGCCCTGAATGAAACGCCTGATTCGCCGTTGCTCTGTCATGATCAGCTCAGGCGCAAATTTGGATAAACGGGTGAATTGGCTCTCGTATTCCGCCACCGATTGAGTTCCTTGGCGGAGTCGGATGAACTCGTCTTCCTTCCTTTCCTGAACTAGAGGAGGGAAGAATTTCGCGTTAAATTCCCGGATGAAATTCACCCAAGTCCTGGGCGTTTGTTCCCGTTCCCATTTTTGTCGTATGACGTTCCACCAGGAACGGGCCGTCCCTTCTAACTGGAATGCAGCAAAGGTCACTTGCCGTTCATCGGTATAGTGCAAAGCCGCAAAAATATCAACCATTTTCTCGAGCCATCGCTCGGCAACATCCGGATCAGGTCCCCCAATGAATTTGGGTGGAGCAAACTTTTGAAAACGTTCGAGAGCTCTGTCTTCGCTCTCGACATGATTGCCAGGGTTTCCAGGATTAGGGTTTGTATTCTGGCCTTGTTGCTGCACCACTTGTGCTAGCAAGTTAGTCATTTGCTGCATGGCGGCAGCGATTTGCACATTAGGGTCAGGGTTAGGTCCAGTAGAGGTTTCCCCAATACCCCTATCCGGTGTGGGTTGTCTATTTCCGCGCCCACGTCCCCGTCCACTACGTGTTCCTTCCATAAACTTTACTTGGTCTAGGCAATGGTACTAAACCAATATAAAACATTGCATTTAAGTAAACTCAAAACTTTCCTCCTTCTTGACCAGCACCGGGTTAGCTAGCCGGGTCGGGTAGTAGACCTCCTTTACGATCTTGGCCTCTAACAACTTGCCTACCTCACTTTTGACGACCTCCTTCCGTTCGGGCACAAAATTCCTCTTTTTCTGCTTCACAGGTCGGGCGTTAGGATCCACCTGCAGCCTGTGAACCACCAGTTCGGTGGGGATCCCTAGCATGTCATCAACACTCCAAGCAAAGATCTCCGCATACTCTTCTAAAAGAGAATCTAAAGAGGTTCGGGTCAGCTCGCTTAGGCAAGTGCCAACCTTAACCGTGTGTGCGCTTAGGCCGGTCTGGGCGGACGGGTAGCTCGGCCAACCCCTCATCCGTTTCTAGTCTCTCTCCTTTCTCCATGGGTTCCCAAGGCTCCAAACAAGCTGTTTGAACTACCAATTTCTCCTTGCTCTTGAGAGTTGCAATATAACATTCCCTAACCACCTTCGGATCCCCCAGCACTTCGACTACCCCCGCAGGAGTAGGGAACTTCATGATGAGGTGCAAGGTGGAGCAGACAGCCCGGAAGGCGTTCAAGGTGGATCGTCCCGAAATCATATTGTACGATGAGGGCTCTCTTACCACCGCGAAATTCACTGGCACAGTTTGGCATTTTTGGGACACCCCCACCGTAACCATAAGGGTTATCATTCCCTCTGGCCTCACCGGAGGGCCAGCAAAGCCGATCAAGGGAGTTCGGACTGGGATGAGCTGCCTGTCCTCCAACTGCAGCTCCTTGAAGGTCTTGTAGTATAGCACATCGATGGCGCTGCCATTGTCGATGTATCCCTTCTTCACTTTGTAGTTACAGGTGATGACTTCTATTACAATGGTTTCATGGTTATTAGAGGCCAGAGGGATTGCATCTTCCGGTCCATAGATAATTTCCTCGTACATCTTCAGTCGCTTGTTTGAGCTTTCCCCGCTGGGATGAGGGCGATTGTGACGTCGAGCTGCATGGCTATCTCCTCCCACAGGTCCTCCCGCAATAGTATTGATTACCCTGGCCAGATTCTAAATTTCTTGTTCGGGAGTTCGGCCATGAGGCCCCTGAGGTCGATCTCGGGGGTAGCTCGGGTGCTCCGGTCTGGGCTTCCCCCGTCGTTGGTCAGTTCGTTCATCACGTATGAACTGCCCGAGGTGGCCTCATCTGATCAACTTTTTGATGTCTTTCTTGAGGTGACGACAGTCCTCCGTATCGTGCCCCACATCTCGATGACACACGCAGTACAGACCCTAGTCCCTTCTGTTCTTGTCCCCGGCCAAGGGTCGGGGAGGTCGGGAGAACACTTCCTATTCCATCACCGCAAGGACCCGAGCTCGAGGTGCGGTGAGGGCAGTCCATGACTTGTCTCGTCCCAAGGGCTGACCCCCAGGCGAGCGATCGTAAGCGCTCTTCCGCCCCTGGCCAGACTGCGCGTCTACCTGATCGATGCTTCTTTTGCGCTTATCGTCCCGCATCTTTCCTGCGCGCTCTTTAGGCGGTTGGACTCCTCAGCGTTGGCCTTCTCGTGAGCTCGGTCTAGCATCTCCCGAACTAACTTAGGAGGTTTCTCCACGAGCTCGGTATAGAGATTCTGTTTACGCAACCCGTTTATGAAGGCGGCCATGACTACCTTGTCATCCCGGTCACGGACCTGGAGGGACTCATTATTGAAACGCACCATGAACTCGCGCAAGGATTCCTCAGGCTTCTGCTGAATGGTCATCAGGTGAGCAGTGCTTTTGGAGAAGGCCCGCGATGAAACGAATTGTGCTGCGAACAGTCGTGCGAGCTGGGTAAAGGATCGGATGGACCTGGGAGGAAGCCCCTGGAACAACTGACGTGTCTTTCCCTCCAGAAACATCGGAAAGGTCTTGCATCTGACCGCATCCGCAGCAGTTTGCAGGCGTATTTGCGTCATGAAAGCGAACAAATGATCCTCCGAATCAGTGGTCGTATCGTAAGACTTCATGCTCGGTATTTTGAACTTCACGGGCAGTGGGTAATCCTCGATATCGAGCACGAAGGGGGAAGCGATGTACTTGTCCGCCTCAGGATCCAGCAGCAGATCCAGCTCGTCCTGCACCTGGAGCTGCTCCCTCCGCGGGGAGAGCTCCTCCCTCGTATACCTCCGGAAGGGCTTCGAGTGCTCAGTTCGGGAATGTTTGTGAGAGGGTTCCATGACGTCGATCTGTTCACGTGTGAGCTCCTGGCGCACCCGCTTGGGCGGGGGATTAGGGCTCCCCGTTCGGGATTCTGACAGCCCATCTCCTTGGCTTTTCGGCCCCTGGTCGGGATGACCTCCCGCCTGCCCCTTGAGGTAATTCATGATTGCCTCGAAAGTTGGTAGGTTTTCCGCCACCGTCTGGACCAATTGTTCAGGCGGGATCCGTGAGAGCCCCGCCCCCTCATCTCCTGGAGTCGGAACTCGTGTGGAGTTTTGGGGACCACTCCTCTCGTTCCCCTTGGATCCATCAGCGTTCCTCTGCGACCTCGTCCTTGGCATGATTCGGAAAAAGATGAATTACGTGTTTCCCACAAACGGCGCCAATTGATGCGACGGCCAAGAACGCAGTCCGAGCTGAGCTGCTACGAACCGAGCTGGAGGAGCATAGCTGAACTAAGAGGGAAGAAACGAACTGACTACCCTATGAAAAAAGAACAACGGCGGGACTAGGGTCCCCGGAATAGCTCCGACGATTAAGTCAGTAGAGCTTACGAATAGGGCAACAGTAGAGAGTACTGTATATGGCATACCTTGTGTCGTCTTGTGGCGCTGTATTTATAGGCTTGAACGAATAGTAGTTTCCTTACAGGAGTCAAAGTCCCCTTAGGGTTCGGAGTCTTTCTAGGGTTTTGTACGACAGCCCCTACAAGTTCGGAGGCGGCGGCCCATGAGGCCCACTCCCTGGGAAGGCGACTGTAATGGCCGAGCTGACCCTTTCTACGCCGAACTAAGGTGTCCGAGCTGCAGGATCCCTATCGCCGACCTGTGTGTGCGGTATGCCGAGCTGACACGTGTCATGCGTGGATTTGCCCCACTACAGTCATCAAGTGAAATTTGTAGTTACCAAACACAGAGTGCTTCAACTCACATAGATTATTGTTTTGTTTCCTACTTGTTAAAAATGCTGTTGTTTCAATTTATAAGTAGACATTTTTTATTATGTTGTTCTTATTTTTGATATTGTAGCCTTTGTGTATCGCCAGCCAGGCTTCTTATCCCATTGCTTAGAATAGTTTAAATGTTGACAGATGACATTTTAGTAGTTAATTTTGATTTTGAAAATCTTGGATTTGGATGTTTGGCTTTTAGTATTTGTGGAGGTTGATGATTATTTTATATTTGAAATTATGATTGTGTAAACTTTAAAGCATTTGGTTTTAAGACTTGAAATTATGACAAATAACTGTTTATGTTCTCTTTTTTATTACTTGTCAGACAGAAAGTAAAAAATGTTATATATTTATAGTAACTTATTTATTTGATATCTTTTAGGATGTACAAAATGGTATATGAATCACAAATTCATTAATTTAGTAAATTTAGGAGCTTTTGGTGGGATCTTACGATCCTATGATCCGATTCTGTGAAACTAAAATTGATCCTACGTAAGATCCCGATTTCACAAACTTTGATCTTTCTGCCAGTAACGTACGGCAGATCCTATACCTCTTCAACTATACTCGTGTCCCTGTCTTTGCCTCAGCCGGGAGTTTGTCACCAATTTATCCTACCGCACGTATGCGCACAAGGCTACAAGCCAGTGTGACACACAATTTGGAAATTCGAATTGTTGACCTTGGTTGATCAATCCTTGATTTTGATGATTAACAAACCAAAATGTAGATTTGGGCTAATGTTTTTATGTGAGCAATTTGTTAGAACAGATTCTTGTGGTACAAAAGAAGAAGCAAAAACAGGGCACTCATGTCGGACGTCCGAAAGGAAGCTATCGGACGTCCAAAGGATGAAGAACATCAAGAAGGAAACTCTGTCGGACGCTCGTGAGAAAGCATCGGACGTCCGGAAGGATCGGACGCACGCCTTGGACGTACATCGATCGCATCGGACGTCCGAGAAATTTCGTTAAGATTTGATGACTCTCTGACGACGTTCGGACGCAGGGTTCGGACGTCCGACAGGTGGTTCGGACGTCCGACAGGCCAACGGCTAGTTTTGACAGCATTTAATATTTGACCGTTGGAGAGCCTTTTGGAGCCATTTCTCACCTTCTATAAAAACCCCAAAGCACAAGAAGACAAGAGACTTTTACCAACACAAAATACAAGCTTACAAGTGAGATTTTTGAATAGAAAGATTCTTTGTTGGTTGTATAAGGGGTTGGGAAAGTTGGGTTGTGAGGTTGCTCAAGTGAAGGTTACTCTTTAGGAGGAGTAAAACCTTGGTGAAGGTGAACCTATCACTTGGAGTGGTAAAACCTTGGTGAAAGTTGCCTCATTTGTATAAAATAGTTCTTAATTGGGTGAGTGATCTTTCAAGTGTAGGTTGTTGAGGGTTAACTAGAATAGTTGTAAAACTCCTTGGCTCAACCAAAGAGTGTTTGGGGTGAGGAAGGAGTGAGCCTTCACTTGTACATCTTGGTTAGCATCGCCATCAATTGAAGAGGCTATTGGGTTTGATATTTGGTTTGCATTTCTTATCTTTTCTCTTTAATTAAGTTTTCTTTATTGTGCTTAAATTTGATATATCTTTGTGCATCATTGTGAATTTGTTTGTACTCATTGGGTTGCACCGGGACCTTACACGAATCACAGATCCCTTTAGATTGTACTATTAAGCCTCTTATAGGGACAAGGTGTGGGAAAGCATGCACCAAAAAAAAATGAAATTACAATATATTACTACGAAGTATCATCTAAAATTTAATCTAAACTTAATATTAATGTAATTACTCTATCTTTTAATATGATTTTGCCATCCTCAATTGTTTTCCATAAACTCATTTTACTTTTGGAGATTATCCAGTAGTCAAGAAGGATTCTTAAAATTCTTGTCATCATCAAGAGTTCGAATTTTGCGTCTAAAAGGTTGACCATGGAAAGAGTGTGAAAAATGATGGGAGGTAAAAAAGCAAAAACTTTTGAAGATTATCCTTGATTAATTTTGTTCCGAAATTTCTACTTCTGTATTGTCCTACCATTCTTGCCCAAAGCTAATAAAATCAACCAACACCATGGAATACTGAATAAGTACGTTCACCAAAATCGGCACCGGTAGCAAAATTAATAACACCATAGGAGCGATACAGTTTACTCGCTACTTATGTTTTTGTTTTGACAATGACTGCTAAGTATTTTATTGAGCAGTCATAGAAAATCAGGCAATAAATTACCGGGTTTAACTGTTGCAAATTGTAGAAAAATCTTGTTCGCGCAACTCTCCATATCTGGTCTTAGCTCCAAAGCAACATATTCTCCGTATATACATGACTCGCCATCCTAGTAGTGGTCTTTGACTAAATGAAAAAGCACGAAAAAAAAGAATAGTGGTAACGTCTGTGTAAAAAAAATACTCCTTCCGTCTAATTGTTATTGTCATATTTTAACTTTATTGATGTCCCAAAATAAAAATCACTAATTCAAATTTAATACATACTTTCCAATTTTACAATTTGAAAAACCAACTTTTTAAAATTCCAATACACATCTATCAAAGAATATTTTGAATTCAAATGATACACATGTAAATTTACCATTGTCATCTCATCTAAACATAATGATTATCATGTCTTTAAAAAAGTTGGATTCCCAAAAAATGACTCTAATATTGGAACGGAGGGAGTATTAGCAGAAGAACGAAAATCTAAAACTTTAATACATTATCAAGAACTAATATATGAGAAATGAAGTAGGAATTTTATTTTGATCCAGACCAATTAATTAGCAATGT